TACGCTGTTAAGAGGAAGGCTGTTGGTATTTGGAGTTGCAAGGATTGTGGCAAAGTGAAAGCTGGAGGTGCTTACACTTTGAAGTAAGGTTTCCTTCACCTTTTGAATCTTATTATTTCTGTATGGACTTGCACAGTGGTTCTGATTGCTTGCTTTGCAAATTCATAACAGTACTGCTAGTGCCGTAACAGTCAGGAGTACCATCCGTAGGCTGAGGGAACAGACGGAGAGTTGATTGTATTGAATATCATGTTATGTGTCTCTTCACTTTTGGATTTTGGAGTCATTTTGATTGAAGTTTTAACGAATTTACCAATTTCATTTCCGGAGACTTTGTTAGTAGTTAAGAAAGTAATGAAAACAGATTATGTTTGAGAAATTTTGTATGGTTTTGTCTGCCCTTTCCAAATTAATATATAGCATGCTTTGCCTTGCATGGTCAATAGTGTGTTGCCCACCACTTATGGTTGGAAAATGGATACAATAGCTCCGTGATAAACAAAGATATCTTTGTTGAACATTGATGCTTTGTTGAACATTGATGCATGATACGATGGTGTGGTTCCACCCGCCCACAGTTCTATGAATCGAACGATCATTGTGTGATCAAGAAGCTGGTGTTGACAGAAAATCATATGATACATTTCATTCCCGACGTGTGCAAATTGTACCAGTGGATTCTCTTTATTGTCGTCTGAAAGGTGGCAGAACACAAGGATCAAAATGTACTACTGAACTTCACTTTGGCCATTTCTTAAATCTAAAGGTTGTGTTTGATCTGAGGGCAAAAATTTAACGGCAGGTGAGGAATGAAGAGTTCAGGAAGTAAACACTGTAGGAGGATTAATTTTTATTTTTTTTGGTTATCTAGATCTCTTTACTCAAGGGTTGGATATTTTCACCTCGTTCACTTTGTTAATTTTTTGTTCTTTTTTATATAAGTAATTTTTAATTAGATTTTGTGTTTTGTTTATTTGATTTTTATAAGATTATTTTTATTTCATGACAAATCAAGTTGGGTTGATTTAATTTATTATTTTGGATCTATTTTTAATTGTTTTTTTATATATAATTTTATCTTTCAATTTATTTTTTTATTTTAATATTAGATTGGTTGAAAATTGAGTTTTATAGTTTATTTTAATTTATTTTATATAAAATTATAATAGTTTTATGGATTTATTTTTTTAATGGATTTTCACATTCAACATTAGACATGTTGCAAATAAAGTTTTATATTTTTTTTATTTGTTTTTTATAAAGTTATTGTAATTTCATGACACAGGTAGTTAAACAAGTTAACTTGAATTGATCTGAATTGTTTTGTTTTTACAATTTTGTCTTTTAAAAACTCAATTTTTTTTTCAATTTTATACTTTGATATTAAATTATTTAGGAAATTATAATAGGCACATGGATTTATTTATTTTTTATTAATTTCAACATTTAACATTGGATTTGTTAAAAATGAAGCTTTGTGATTTTTTTTATTTACTTTTTATGAAGCATCCTAATCTCATGGTTAAAGTCGTGAGTTGAATAAGTTAACTTGAATTAATCTAAGTTTTTTTTATATATATTTTTTTATTTTATCCTTCAATATTGAGTTGATTGAAAATTAAGATTTGTAATTTTTTTTTTATTTACTTTCTATAGAGCTATCCTGATCTTATAATCCGGGTTGTGGATTTAACATGTTGATTAGGTTAGTTATTTTTATTCTTTTTTAATTTAATATTTTTAAATTTTATTTTTTCAATATTAGGTTGATTATGAATTGACTTTCATAATTTATTTGGATTTGCTTTTTATAAGTCTTGTGATCTATGTCGTAAATTTGACAAGTTAACTCCGGTTAATTCAATATCATTATCTCAATATTTGAACAACAAACATTATTCAATATGTCGTTATATCAATATTTTTTAAAAATATTGTTCAATATGTTATTATTTCAATATTAAAACTATACTATCTTAATTTTTTTTTTAAAGCCAAATAACATTTTTACCTATTGTTATTGAGGTTATAATTTATTTCAATTTATTTTATATGAAATTATAATTGGCACATGGATTTATTTATTTTTTATCAATTTCAACATTCAACATTGGATTTGTTAAAAATAAAGCTTTGTGATTTTTTTTATTTACTTTTTATGAAGCATCCTAATCTCATGGTTAAAGTCGTGAGTTGAATAAGTTAACTTGAATTAATCTAAGTTTTTTTTATATATATTTTTTTATTTTATCCTTCAATATTGAGTTGATTGAAAATTAAGATTTGTAATTTTTTTTATTTACTTTCTATAGGGCTATCCTGATCTTATGATCCGGGTTGTGGATTTAACATGTTGATTAGGTTAGTTATTTTTATTTTTTTTTAATTTAATATTTTTTAATTTTATTTTTTCAATATTAGGTTGATTATGAATTGACTTTCATAATTTATTTGGATTTGCTTTTTATAAGTCTTGTGATCTATGTCGTAAATTTGACAAGTTAACTCCGGTTAATTCAATATCATTATCTCAATATTTGAACAACAAACGTTATTCAATATGTCGCTATATCAATATTTTTAAAAAATATTGTTTAATATGTTATTATTTCAATATTAAAATTATACTATCTTAATTTTTTTTTAAAAGCCAAATAACATTTTTACCTATTGTTTTGATTTTTTTTTAAACCTGTCAAGTTAACTAAGTCTTGTAAAGTCAATTGTCATGAAAGTAAATTTGAAACTCTTAGAAGTTGGGCTGGGAGATTTCAATATTATTCCACCATGTTGAGTTTAATAACAACAACAAATAATTTTTTTTCAATCTATCTTCCTTTTTTTTAATTTCAATTGAATTCATTTTTTTTATAAATTGAATTCTTTAATTTGGTTGATTTTGAATTGATTTTTATCATATATTTTGATTTATTTTTTATAAGATTATTACAGTTTTAAATAAATATCTCAATATTTAGTTGGCGTTGAATTTTATGAATACCTATTTTTGTTATCATATCATTAAGTCAAGAACAATTTTAAAAAATAAAGTTGTTAAATCCAATAAAATTTATTATCTAGGTGATAAGTTGGACAAGTTAAAACACAAAGTCTAAGTTGATGTAATATGATTCAATTTTAATATTAAAAAAATCATATTAATTTTTTAATTTAATTTTTTTTGGCCATCCTTTGAATTCTTTTCGAACCAATCAATTAACTAAGTCACATCAAGATAATTCTTACATGATTTAATTTAAATTTTAAATTAAATAAAAAATTAAATTGCAAGTTTTTAAGATTAATTTTCTAGATAAAATTTGATAAAAATACCAAAATATTTTCGGATCTTATTTTTAGGTTAAAATCTGTTTTTTTTATACAACCATCAACGAATAGCGGGACCGAAAACTAGTACTTACCAGAAATATAAACAAGGACTGCCAATTTGTCAGCTTCTCTAGAATCCATTACATGCCTCCACAGAAAGCAGAGGGCCCGTCACTTTTGTCCACAACTTCTCCAAAATCTACGAGACCTCTAGGAAAAACCAAAAAGAAATACTGATAAAAGAACCATTATGCATAGCCAACAAGCACCGCGTGCACAAATGCATATTTCTCCAATTCATCCTTCAGGCTATATATAAATCACTGCAAGATCATCATCTGGACATTTTTCTCATAAGGGCCATAAAAAAATGAAATCTGATATATTTTCAATAAAAAATGTATACTAAATGGACAAAAAACGATTTTATAGAGGAAAGAACAATGGGTAAAGCTATTTTAGCTTATAAATCGTACTGTTAACCCAGAAATTGTCCAATTCTAGGAAGTTTCAGTTTAACAAAAAAATAAAATAAAATTGATGACTTCCCCGATCAAATCAATGAAAGAAGGAAAAATCGTGTCCACGGAGAATTTAACCCCCCATTCTTTTAACCAATAAAAGGTTAACTCAAAGAAAATAAAATGGAATAATATTTCATTAGATACTATTTTTTTTCCCTTCAATTCCTAGGTAATTGAAGGAGTGATGGCTTACCTGATTAATGGAAGGAGATGAGCAATGTTGCTCGAATGGTAAATCTAGAGGCTTTCTTCGTTTCTAAACCCCCAGAGACTGAAAGAAAATGTTTGGAAAAAGTTGTCTGCCTCCTCAAGAGAGAAAAGAAAATGTTGACCTAAACACTAGAAGGGCACCTTTTAACCCCCTTTTTGTGGGATAAACACCAATCCGGGAATCCTAGCTCTCCTGTTTCAGATTCACACAAACATGTTGAAAAGAGGGTAAAAATTACAAGGGGCTTCCCTTGTAACGGTTGGAATTTCAGGAAGTGAAGAGAAGCAATTACTGCTTTTAAGCTAAAACCAAATTCAACGTAACGGTTGGAATTTCAGGAAGTGAAGAATATCTGTGAAGAAATTTCCAGCAAAATTAACGTTACTCGTTGTAGCGTCACTTACTGGATGCCCCTGAATGTAAAGGTCAAAATCGAAATCGAAATCCATATGCAAAGAGCTCAATTACAACTAAAGCATGAAGGATGAACTCGAAAGTAATCACATTGATTTCCACCTGTGCCTTCTGTCCAATTTTACAAGTCAAAAGAAACAATATTTAACATGCGAAAGGAGCATGATTATATCTCATTGATGATACTCAAGTTCACTTACAGCATCGAGATGGGCTGAGGTTTCACCTGGGCACCACCAGCTCCCTTATACTACAATACATCTAACTCATCTTTACAAATCTACAAGCCAAAAAAAGCCTCGAATAGACAGCCCCCCACCACCCCTGCTTGCTAGCAGTATCGTGTATGTATACATGATGTCAAAGCAAACAAGACTCCACACTAGCTCCCTCTGTTCAAACATGGACTCCAAGTTCGAATCTTTTGCTAGCAGTATCGTCTATGTATACATGATGTCAAAGCAAACAAGACTCCACACTAGCTCCCTCTGTTCAAACATGGACTCCAAGTTCGAATCTTTTGCTAGCAGTATCGTCTATGTATACATGATGTCAAAGCAAACAAGACCCCACACTAGCTCCCTCTGTTCAAACATGGACTCCAAGTTTGAATCTTTGGTTACAGCCTCCTAAAGAAAGAATAGGCTGCAGAGAAGATGGCTGTCCAAGCTATGAAGTTTTTGAAAAGGAACCACAAAGCCATATCCTCTTGTCACGGTCTTGGTAGTTTGCCTAATTAATGATTAAAGTATGGAAGTCTCACACAATTGGAATCGGAATGTTATCATTGTTACTGTTATGATGCATTTGTTTCTGAACAGCTTTAACTGCTGCCACTCTAGCTGCATTAGCTGCTCTGTTAGCTGCTGCTACTGCCCTATTCACTCTTTCATCAACTTTTGTGACATCATAAGCCTTTTCCGCTGCCCGTCTTGCTTCCTAATTGCATGCAAGAACAAGTAGTTAATAGAAAAGAAAACCAGTATGATCACATAATGCTTATTTCTTCATTCCAAGTTGAAGGACAAGTGGGCTCTGTGTCATTCATGTCCCATTTGCACATCACAATTACTGACTGAAAGTTTGGGTGGTTAAAATTAATAAATAAATAAAAAATGATCTTCGAAAGCAAAATAGCAGCAATGTAAAGGTGGCATCAACTAACAGTGAAAAATGCAAAAATCTTTCCATATGAATGCAATTGCAAGCACTATGCAAGGAGCCAAGTTTAAAAGTGTGCACACCTGCACTGCATTGAGTACTTTGGAATGATAAACAGCAACAGGAGATACAGGATGAGAGGTGTTCTGCGTGCTTGGGACATCAAGAATTCCATTTTGCCAGTGACCAGACTGAGTCTCCCCATTTCTGAACGTGTACATTCCCAGGCCTTGCCTTCTACCCTCATGCCAGGCTCCCTCATACTGATGCCCATTTGCAAAACGATAGACACCAAAGCCATGCATCTTGTCAGCAAAATATTCTCCAGCATATGTATCCCCATTTCTGAATAATTAGAAACCAGATGAGTAGGCATGGGAGCAAATACACCAGTTTTAGATGATTGATACAGCGATATGGATATTTGGAATAAGGCTGTAAAACTTGCTAACATAAAATGATAAGTTTATTGATATACACATGCACGGACAGGGCACACCACAATCTACAGCTAAAGAGATTTAAAGAGGACAAAAAAACCATGTTTAATGCATAACCCGGAACTGATTGGGATAGGCCATGCAATTTCCTACAATCCATTCCATCCTATCTAAATAGAAGTGAAGAAAGTGAGAAAGAGAACTAGCATAGACTGAAAACTATGAACAACTTATCCCTTACATAAACTCGAGAACTGAATGAGTTAAATGAACAGACTGATCAGAAGCACCTTAAAATTTTTGCTGTGTTAAAAAACCCAGATTCTTGTTAGGTGATTAAAGCAGTATCAAGTTCTCTCAAGTATAATGACAACAAATCCTCCTCCAGCACTGTAATATCAACCACAGCTATACATTATTTTTTTCATTCTTTAACAAATCTCCTTTTCCCTTATCATTCACTTATCAACTGCTTTGCCATCTCAGCTTTCAGTTGAAGAAAGGATGAAAAACATTCTCTATTTTGTTAGTCATGTTAACTAAAGCAACAAAAGTGTGACAATAGAGAACAGGAGATGAAATTAAAACTGACCTCTAATAGTTATCCCTGTGACCCCAAATAATATCTATGCATGCTTTAAAGTGCATTGATAATTGCCAAATAATGATGAACATTGTTGAAGTAAAATACAAATACACCTAGATAATTTCATACTTGAGATAGTCCAAAAAATCAGCTGGAAAAGACATTAGAGTAACAAGCATCGTTATTATTTAATTCATACAGGAAATATTATCCTTACCACTGAATATAAGACAGCACAAAGAAACATCACTCCCAAAGAAAAAGATTTCCCGTCCTATTACACGTGATAGAATAACAATCCATAGAGAATACGATACATGACAAACAATAACACGGTTATCCAAATTTTTTCTAACCTAAGAGACCTCTCTAAGATCTTGTCTAACAAGTCCATGAACCTTTGACAGGCTCCATGGGTTATAAAAGATACAAAGATATTAAAAGAAAAAAAAATAATAAGCAAGAAAACTACAATAATATGTTGCTAGATATAAAAATAAAGATTAAAAATTTAGGAGGCGTCCATCATCCTATCTGTCCAGACTTAAAATTTTTATAAGCATTGTAATCTGAGTCCTAGAAAAGAACTGCACACAATTTGTAACTCGCAGAGTTTTGCAATTACAAAGGAAGTTAAGAGTAGCAAAGTAACAAAATTCAACCCAGCTTCCTTATAAATCAAGCAAGTTTGAGCCAACCTTTTCAAGTTTACCTGTACACGCGTCCCTGGTTGAACACTCGGGACTAAACATACTAGTACACATTGTTAAACTGTGTGCAAGCTTAGGAGAATTTATGCTACAAGTGATCATCCACTCATTGCTTAGTGATGCGAGAATCTATTCGATTTATGTTTTTAAAAGGGCACAATTTTCCTACTGAACTAGTCCAGAAATCTTGTCTTTATGAGGTCCAATTCCAGAATCCAGTTTGGATGACTAAAATTACACAAATTCACAACAAGAAGAACAAGAAAAACAATAATGATAATAATTAAAATGAGTCAGCCAAATGGCAATGAACGAAGAGGAGTATTTCTCACATTTACAATTGACTTCTCAATAACAGATTTAGAACAATCCATTATGACTCGCTGTATCTAGAATTTGTAAATTCCATCTGCAATATGTTCTTTAAATAGTACTATAAGCACTTGCATTTCCATAAATTATTTGAGGTAGATTGGTTGCATGTTTGCAATCCGTTAAGTTGCATTTTTTATGCCCAGCTTCCCGATTCCTTTCATCTAATCAAAACCTATTCAAGGGAAAACCACTATTCAAATAGCTTTCGCAATAATATTTCCAAACATATCCAGCTAATGCCATCTTTTAAAAAATTCCACGATCCTGAAACTAGAAAATCAAATGCGATACCAGAATCCACGTGCATTTTCTCAAATTCAATCCCAAAAGGCCAGCATCAAATGGCAAAAATTTTAACAGCATAAAAAAGGTAAAAATTCCAAATAGCAAAGTTCATCAAATTTACCTGAAATGGTAATGCCCGAGTCCGTGCTTGACACCCCACTTGAATTCACCAACATAACGACTCCCGTCCTCACAAGTATGAACTCCACAACCATGACTTTGTCCATTAGACCATTCACCGGCATAAACATCTCCTGTATAAAACCTATACACCCCAAATCCATGTCTAAGTCCTTGCCTATATTGCCCTCGATACCGACTCCCTCTAGCCCAAGTTTCCACTCCATGGCCATCATATTTCCCATCAATCCAATCACCTTCATATCTTCCACTCATATAATAATAATAAACCCCACTTCCTGAACACTTTCCCTTATGAAATTCACCTTCATAAACGTCTCCGTTACTATAATCCTGAACTAAACAACCCGAAGTCGCCCTTTTCTCCGGTTTTGGCTTCGATCCAATTGACCAAAACACCGGTAAAGGATGTCTGGATGCTGAGTTCCTAAGCTTATTAATGGCAAATGACCGCGATAAAAACAGTCGAATTGAAGGCAATCTAGGCAAAGCTAAATTAAGAGACAATAACAAAGCAGCAGAAAATGCAAAAGCAGATAAAAAATCAAGCAAAAACGAATGACTCGGATGCGAAACCAGGAAATAAAAGAAGGGAAGCGAGAGCAAGAGAATCAAGCGGAGGTGCACTTTCAGGCGAGCCAAACGGGGGCAGAGAAAACGAAAGGCGGCAGCTTTAACGGCAGTGGAGACGGAAAAGAGAGACTGGGGTTGATGGGTCGTGGAAAAATGGTAAATAGTAGGGGATTTAGAGAGTGAATTGGAACGATGAGGGGTTTGGCTATGAGGGGTCGTGGTCGTCAAGAGAGGTCTTTTGTAAGGAGTTGGAGAAGAACAGGGAGGAGAAGGAGGGGTAATTGGGTCATTTTGTTGTTGGAAGTGGTGGAGGATGAGAAGTTGCGGGTTTAACGTAGTTGAGAAAGCGGAAGAGATGCCGTTGCTTTCTTTTCCGATTTGGATTTCTGATTTCTTCTGATGCATTACATATGGAAAAAAATGAGATAGAAATTGACAAGGAAAAGATAAAGGGAAAGGATAGAAATCCAATTCTATGGTTTCGGATTCAGAGATTGGAATTGGATATGATTGGATTTGTGTTTTTTTCAGTCTTATTTTAGGGGTTGAGAGAGGGAGAGTGAATTGAGGAGGTGTGTGTGTGTGCAGAGGAGAGAGATATTAGCCTTTTTGAAAGAACAGCTTGATTTATTTTTTTTATTTTCCTTTCCCTTTTTTTACTGGTTTTATTTTAAATATATTTTTGTTTATTTTATTTTTATGATTTTTAATTTTTAATTATGGTTAAAACTCAGAAAGGTCCCCGCGGCAATTTTGACTTTTAAGTAGGTACAATAATTTCATCCGAATCTAGTAGATATTAACTCGAAATTACTGCAATGGGTAGAAATTTTTTTTCATGTTCAAGATAGGTTCAACCAATACTCAAATTTAAAATATCTATCGGGTACAAGTAATATTCGACATCAAAATACTAGGTTCAGATATGGTGAGGTTTAGATAGAGTGTAAATATGACTCTATTTAACACAAAACTTGATTTAAAAACAAATTACATAAATAATTTTAATATTTTATTAAAATATGGTTGTTTTGAATTAATTTGTGATGTTTGTGGGTTAGGGTTATTGAATTTTTTTTTTATTAATATAAATATTTAGATTATTTTTTTATAGTAAAGTGGTAAAAAAAAGGTTGTGTTGGTATTTAGAAAAGGTGAAAGAAAGGATTGATTTTTGACTGAGTGTTTTATATTGTAGTTTGTGACTGTTGGAAAGAGAGATTAGGTATGGAGGAGGAGAAAGACAAATTAATTGTGTGTAAAATTCATAATGTAAGATTCATTATAAAGTAAAATTACTTGATTTAATCGTTTGTTCGAGCCAGGTGAAATGCTATGATAGTATTTAATTATTGCTTATTTAGATACCCAGAGACTTATGCATTCACAAATTACAAAATACAATAGATAATAGTAAGTATGGTCCAAGCTACCACTAGTTCAAACTGTCTCCAAATCACTCACAACCTAATGCCCCAGAGGGCTTGAAGAGAACACGCCAAAAATTCGTCCATTGATTTTATTGGAGATTTGCGAGGAAGGATCTTAGAAATACATTCTTGATAAATTAAGGAGTTGGACTCTAATATACTATTAGTAAATATTCAAAATATTCAAAAAAATCAACCTACCAATTAAACTAAAAAAATTAACTGAAAATACTGAACTAGTAGAAAAAACCAAATAAACTGACTAAAAAATAAAAAAATCACTTAGTGTAGTTTGTTTTTGATTTCAAAAAATTTAAGTTAATTGAATTGAATCGGTTCGATTGAATATAAATAACTTTAAAAACAAGTTATAAAAAAAATATCCTTAATCTTAAATTATTTTATCACTTTCCAGCTGACTTTCTTTTCTCTCTACTCTTCTCTTTCATTTTCTTTTTTGTTAACCTAACATTAAATCTTTCTTTTAAGTTTTGATGTCAGAGCTTTTCATCTTCTCTTACCATTATTTTTTGATCTTTCATATAGTAGCATCATCCATAGCTTTTATTTTATTTTTATCAATAACAACCCACATTTTCCTAAGCTCGATCTAATTTTTTTTATATGGCAACACTGTCCACAATCTTTACTATACTTCTATCAACAACTACCCGCACTTTAAGAATCAGTTTTAATTTTTCAAACTCAATCTAAATTCTTTTTTATATAGCAATATTGTTCACAATCTTCACTTTACTTCTATCAACAACCATCAACAACAACCCACATATTTAGAATTAATTTTAGTTTTTCAAGCTTAATCTAAATCCTTTAATTTGAATGGAATCTTTTTCCATTGAGTGCAAAGTAAATTAATGTAATATGAATTTTTTTCATTCAAAACAATTGAAAAGCAGGTTTTTGTATATAAAAATTATATTATTTATTTTTTATAAAATTAAAATTTGAAATACAATTACACCCTGATAAAAAAAGAAAAAGTTACCTGATTAACCAAGCAGAAATTACCCTGAGGTGAAAATTGTTTTCCACATATGCAATTCAATGGTCAGTTTTCAATTTTATTTATTTTTATCTTGATAAAAATAAAGAATACTGAACAGATTTTACCGTGGCTTTTCTGTATTTTTCATCATGGAAGAGGAAGAATGATCCAACTTATGTCAATATGTGCGTAATTCTTTACCACACTATGTAATTATTGTAGATATTTTTCAAAAATAAATATTTTGAAAAATAACATTTTAGCGCGTAAACAGCACCATCGTAGCTGTTGAGTGTTGAAAAACACAAAATCTCTCGATCTCTGCAAATTCAACAGAATATTCCCATTAATGTTCCCTTTGAATCCAATCCATTGTCACGATAGATATCACATCACCACTTTTCATGGTTTTGTCGAGTAAATCTACGATAAGATACTTAATTATCAACCATATACTGATATAAAAAAACAAAAGTAGCAGTGGATCTAGCTAGAGAATTCCCACCATCACACATCACATCATCTGATCTTGAGGCCGCAGGAAGAAGGGTGCTTTATGAATTACGAGACCCTACCAGCAGTTCCTCTAAAACTTCATAAATACCTGAAGAATAACATGAACCCCGTCTCCATTTATCCAGCCTTCAATCCTCTCGTTGCGTGACAGTCTTCTTCTATATATACGTACACGATGCATACCTTTGGTTATACCTGATAAGAATCCTAGATAATCTACCGATTAATCAAATAAAATGGTGACGTTAAGAATCTGATCGATCCAAAAAGCTACTATCAGATGAAGTATTTATTATGCTTGACAACATATGATGTACGTAGTTGAAGCGTGCCAACTTGGGAAAGCTTCCTTGCTGCAGCTTCTAAAACCAGAAGAGGTAGCAATACATGGAGCTTGCTATTCCATTTGTGTGTGTGTGTGTGTATCAAGAGTGATTGTAACTTGAAATTGTTCTTTAAAATACGTTTAGATTTAAAAAAATAATAATAAATTGATGTATTTTAAAGGGTTTTTTTTTAATGGCTTTGACACGCATGAAAATTATCAATAAATTTCCTTAGAAAATATTAATTCAACATTTTTTTAAAAAAAAAAAACACTACTAAAAACAAATAGAACTGCTCTATCAAAACACGCGCGCGCACTTGCATATATTCATGTTTACAACTTGTAGCTGGTGATCTTAATGTCCAAGTGGGAATATGGCCAACCCTATCCACTATAATATTTAACAATTTTATCAACAGAATTTTTCTCGTAAACACCTGATCATCACACATCACATCATCTGATCTTAAAGCCGCAGGAAGAAGGGTGCTTCATGAATTACGAGACTCTACCAGCAGCTCCTCTAAAACTTCATAAATAACTGAAGAATAACATGAACCCGATCTCCATTTATCCAGCCTTCTATCCTCTCGTTGCGTTTCAGTCTTCTTCTATTTATACACGATGCATACCTTTGGTTATATTAATTATACCTGATATGAACCCTATATAATCTACCGATTAATCAAATAAAATGGTGACGTTAAGAATCTGATCGATCCAAAAAGCTACTATCAGATGAAGTATTTATTATGTTTGACAATATATGATGTAGTCGAAGCGTGTCAACTTGGAAAAGCTTTCCCTGCAGCAGCTGCTAAAACCAGAAGAGGCAGCGACACATGGAGCTTACTATTTCAATTGTATTGTATATCAAGAGTGATTGTAAATTGAAATTGCTCTTTAAAGTACGTTTAGATTAAAAAAAAACTCTAAATTGATGTATTTTAAACGGGTTTTTTTAATGCCTTTGATACACATAAAAATTATAAATGTTCTTAAAAAATATTAATTCAATATATTTTAAAAAAAATATAAAAAAAACACATAAGAACTATCCTGTCAAAACACACCCACACTTGCATATATTCATGTTTACAACTTCTAGCTGGTGATCTTAATGTTCAACTGGGAATATGCCCAACTTCATCCATTACAATATTTAATTTATTATAATATTTAATAGTTTTATTGATAAATTTTTTTTATTAGCATGAGATTATTATTTCATTGGTAAAAATTTTACTAACTAATTTATTGAGAGACTACATTTGTTGAAATAATATTTATCACTAATTCTATCAGTAAAAAAAATAAAAAATTGATGGTTTTACAGACAAAAAATACACACTAAATTTTTTTTTTCCACTTCATTCCATCTATATTTCCCTTGAAAATTTTTTCATATAACTAAAAAAATATTGTATATAATTCTATCAGTAATTATTTAAAAATATTTTTAAAAAATATATTTAACAAAACTAAAAAATAATTAAATTAATATAAATCAATACTCCATAATACTTAGGATTGAGTTGCTTGGAAAAAAGAAGAAGTAAAACAACTAAAAAAATTTACAACAAATAAATAACACAAAAAAACAAAACAACAACAACATTGATCTTATATGAAAAAACAATCCTACAACACATTCATATAATTATTAAGAAGGTGAATTTGAAAAGAGAAAAACACAAATTTATAAAGTATGTTAATTAAAAAAAAATTAAGAAGAAAAAAGAGAAAAAAAGAAGAAGACAAATGAAAGTGGAGGAGAAGAGGAGTTGCGGAGAGAAGAGAGAGAGAAAAAAAGGGATGTTGATGTTTTTTACACAAAAAAAAGAAGAAGAAGGAGAAAAAAAAGAAGAAAAGGAAGAAGAAGATTATGCTCGTCTATTATGAAATGAGAGATTCTATTTATTGAGGTATTTTACCAATAGTTTTACTTACAGATAATTAAATATTAATATTTCTAATCATTCCGCCAGTAGTTTTGTTTGTAATATTTAATTTAAATTTTAAATTTACTTAAAATTTTTAGAAATCACTAAATATCATCGGTGATTTTTCAATTCGTCGATGATTCCGTCTATAATATTTAATTTAAATTTTTAATTTACTCGAAAATTTTTAGAAATCCGCTAAATAACACTAACGAATTTTCAATCCGTTAATAATTTTATTAATAAAAAATAATAATTAACAATGCAATTAAAAAGTAAACAGTTTCAATATTCTCTAGAAAATTTTATTTGTAACTGAAATGGTAAACAATGTCAAGAAGAAGTGAATACTTTACCAATAATTTTACAGACGCGATTAATCCGTTGATAATTTTATTAGTATAA